CGCCTGTGAGCCTTCTCGGCGCCCTCCCACAGGCGGCGGGCGACGAGACGGACCCGAACGCCGATGACGACTCGTTCACGGAGGAGGGCGCGGAGGTTTGGGTGGACGGAGAGGAGGAGTCAGACGAGGACGAGGCACGCCAGAACCCCTCCCGACACACACACACACACACACACGCACACACACACACACACACACACACACACACACACACACACACACACGGAGAGAGGGGGGGGGGAGAGGGGGGACGCGCGCGCACGCACACCTTGCTCGAGCACTCTCTCCCTCCGCCGCTTGCCCCGCTCGACGCTAACCCCCTCTGCCACCGGCCTGCAGGGGCTCCAGGAGGAGGACGCCTTTGACACGCCGGACCACCCGATGCAGACCCCGGAGCAGACCCCAGAGCAGAGCGGCGAAGCGCAGCCGCAGCAGAGGCCCGCCGCGCTCAGCTGCTCCGCCCTCTCGTCCGTCGCCATCTCCGATGCAGAGGAGCTGGCGGGCGAGGCGGCGGCGGGCGAGGCGGCGGCAGGCGTGGCAGGCGTCGCGGCGGCGGCGGGCGGCGAGGTGGTGGCGGCGTGCGAGGCGCCGTTGCCGGTTGGCGAGGCTGCAGCAGGCGAGGCGGCAGCTGGCGAGGCGGCAGCTGGCGAGCCGTCGACGGTGGCCTCTGAGCAGGCTTGCGAGGCGGCGGCGCTGTCGGAGGCAGCGGTGGAAAATGGCGCCTGGGGCGCAGCGCCGCCGGGAGAGGGCACGGAGGAAGGGGGAGAGGGTGAGGGTGAGGAGGGGCTGGAGGGCGAGGAGGGGCCGGAGGGCGACGAGATGGAAGTGGAGGAGCGCAACGGGGGCGAGGAGGCGCCCGATGGGTCGCTTGCGGGCGATGTGCCCATGGTCGACTCCGGGGGGAGGGAAGGTCCCCAAAAGGGGCCCCCCGCCAGGGTAACAAACGCCCAAGCCCTTTTCCTCCCGAGTGCCGGGGTAAACACCAAAACCCGCCCCTATTTGTTTCCTTGGAGGGCCCCCCCCACCCAAAGGTTTTTCCCCTTTTAGATGGAAAGCCCCTTTTTGGGGGGGGGGGGGGGGGGCAGAAGAGAGGGAGGGGCGGCTCCGGGCGGGGTCTGCCAGAGAGCTAATTTGAGCTCCCCATGTCAGTGTTCCCCACATCGACGGCCAGAGAGCGCTTTAATTTGAGCTCCCCATGTCAGTGTGGGCTAAGTCTCAGTAGTCCGCTCTGTCGCTCTGAGTACTCTGGACTGAGCCGTTTTCGCTTTTCCTGGGGGCGCGGCCCGCCGGCCCCGGTGGCCGGTGCGCCGGCCGCCCGGGCCCCGCCCGCGCCCCGCGCGCCCGCCCTTGGGAGCGCTGGTGCTTGGAGCCGCACACACACATCACACTTATTTGGAGATACTTTAGTGCAGAGTTCCCGCCATCGACCATCGTGCTCGCACGCCCTGTGGCAATGCACATGAGTGGCGCGCTCGCCCCTATTAGCCGTTCCGCACGCGCGCCGCACCGCTGCTTCAGAGCCTCAGCGTGCGCCACAAAGGCACTTGTCGCCGAGGCTCGTCATGTCGGCGCACCGCGTCGAGCGAGTGGTCTCGCACTCTTCCCGCCTAGTTGACCGCCGCTGCCTCGATGGCCTTGCTGACGAGCGCCATCGCCGCAGGCCGCGGGTAAGGCTTGGCATCGGCGAAAGCCTTTGGATTTGCGGCCAGCTTCGTGAACGGATCCGGGTCGGTGAGCTTGTCAAGTATCGCGATGTCGTTCACAACCACCTTGAAGTCGCCTGCAGCGGAGACTTAGGACACGAGTCAGCATTTCGAGTCGGCAACTGCCACGCACAGCGGACAGGCGCGACGAGCAGCGCACCCCGCTCGCCCTCCTGAACGACGACCGAAATGTCGTGATCCTCCCTCAACAAGTCAGCGTACGTCTCGGCATTGGTCTTGTAATGTCACGGCCCGCAGTAATAAACCACCACCTTGACGCCTCTGTCGCACATGCTGGCGATCGCCTCGCTCTCTGGCGTACAGGAGGTGCCTCGTCTTGCTGATAAGCTGTGTGCCGCTGTTTTCACGCTGCTCAGCACGCCCCACGGTTAAGCTGCAATGCAAAACTCTTTTTACCACCTTCAGGTACACCCCCAAGACTCCCCCAAACCGCCCAGGATGAGCTCCTGAGGTGCCATTCCGCCCAAGATATGACCGGTTGAAGTTGGGGTTCCACGGTCAGGATGGAGGTGTTCTCGAGGTTCTCGAGGTGGATATCCTTTGGCCGCGTTGGGTAGCGAGGATTGGTGTAACCCGAGCCACGGAGGCGTGGAGGTGTCGAACTGGATGGGGGTCAGCCAGGGAGGCTGTTGTGGCGCACCGGACAGCCCCCCAGCACCGTGCCCCACCCAACTGCATCCATGGGAGTCACAAACGGTGCTGTACTCGCGGCTGCAAGCACTCACGACACTCAAACCCACAACCTGCCTCCTACCCTGTACGAGGAGCCATTTCACCCGTGCAACATCTGCACAGGTGTACCGCCGACGCTCCAGCGCCCGGCCCCTACTAGAGTAGTCTTGTGGGACCCACAAACGACCAATACATCCACTCGGGGCTGCAGCATGTGTCCGGGGGGGGCATCCCCGTGAAGCAGCCAGCAGGTGCCGGACACGGCGTTGGCCGTCTTGGACCGAGATCAGGGCGCAACTGCCTGTCTCATGGGGTTGAAGGACCGTCATGGGGTCGGCTTTGATGCTGCCAATCAGTCGGGTCGATAGGTGGCGCCCCAGCGAGATGCGTTGCGGGTGCTCGGCGTCGCCTGCTTGAGTGGCCTAAACGCACTCGCGGGAGCCAGAGAGCAAAGGTGTGCGCGAATTGAGGCTTCTGAGCAAGCCCAGGCAAGCCACAGGACCGGCCATGTGCGTGGGTAGTCGAGCGGTGGCCGGAGGCAGCCTCCAGGAGTGCCTCTCAGTTCGACACCTCGGTCTCGACCACGACCAGACTCGGAGCGGCACACAGCTCGCGTCTTGAGCAGCTTCAGCTCGTAGCGCGCGCAGCGCACCGCATCGTGTTGGGTGCAGCAAACAGTGGGCGCAATGTTATCTATGTAGACAGCGCAATTCGTAGTGAGGAAGAAACCGATGCCATCGCTGTGATGCAGTCGGCTCCACTCGAGAAGAGTGGCCAGGTTCGCCGCAAGCCCGTCGAGGGCGGCGGCACGGTCGAAACTGCATTCCGTCACCATTGCATCAGTTTCCTGTTTAGCGCCATGTAGGAGATCCCGAATTTCGGAATACTCCAAGGCTTTGGTGGGCGTGTCATGAAACAACAGCGCAAACACGCGCACACCACCCTCCCACAGCACAGCCCGGGCGGGCCTGCGAAGCTCCAGCGGCAAGCACACGTACAGCGCCAAGGACACGACGGAGAGAGAGGCGAGTCAGATGCGCGGAGAGAGCGCGAGCGAACACGTGCAAGACCAGCGCAGAGAGCACCGCCGGCTAGTGCCACATCACCGTGGCGAGGTCCCCGAATCGCCGGCTGCGGTCGCGTGGCACCCAATCCCAGACGTGCACGAGCCGCCCGCCCTCCTCGGCCTCCGAGGTCTGAAAGCGCGCGGTCGGGAGGTCGCGAACCCTCGCCTGGAACTCGTGCAGGTTGTAGTGGGAGAGGAGAGTCGGGTAGGAGTCCGAGTCGCGGGTCTCTCGCCACTGGCGGAGGCTGGACGCGTCGAGAAGAACGTTTTGCACGGTGGCGAACCCTCCCAGCTCCTCCCGCAGGCCACGCAGCGCGGCCTCCAGCGGCGCCTCGCGGTAGGTGAGCTTCTCGGAGAGAGGGCGGCCGCGGCGGCGCAAGCGTCCGTCTGGCAGGCTCTGAAAGAGCTCGATCAGCTGCAGCTCGTCGCTCGGACCGCTCACGTCGTCTGCCCACGGCGAGATGCACACTTTGGCGACGTTCACCCAGCGGCGAGCCGCCGATGGACCAAAGGTGAGGATTGATTCGCCGTTTTCGAGCTCGCGCAAAAGGCTCGAGGCAGTGCGTGCGGCACCGCGGCCCCACAACGCCGTGTCCACGCCATGGCCGACCAGAGCTCGCTCCAGCTCCAGTGGGCAGGAGAACGTGCCGGCGCCAGCCGTCCAACAGTTCCTCGCTAGGAGCTCCAGCTCGGTGGTGGCTGAAGTGGACGCCAGTGACATGTGTGCGTGAGGGCGGGCGCTGAGGGCCGCACTGGCGGCACTCATACTGAGCAGCATCGGACTCGCCGGCAGCAGCAGCAGCAGCAGCACTGTGCGAAGCGGTGATGAAGCACTGTGCGAAGGGTGATGAAGGTCCGCGGCACCAGGGCAGCGAGGGACGCACGAAGATGCTAACGTATCGGCGATCCTCAATCCTTCAGAGGAAAGAAAATCCGTGCGAGCCGGGTAGTTCGTAAGAGCACACAAAAACAGAACGAGAAGTTTCTTATTCTACGGCCTTGTGGGCCAATACCTTCGTGGTGGAGGTACTCACGACACACACACAACACTGTAGATGAAGCAGAGGTCGCTTGTGGTCGGCCTGCTGCTCCTCGTCTTCGTCGTCGCACGCGCGAGTTCATCCCTTGTCGCCACCAGCCGCAGAACGGCCATTGCGCTCGCCGCTGGCCTCCCTTCAGCCGCCAGCGCGCTGACCGATGGCCAAAGGATGCAGGTGGACGCCGAGCTGACGACCAGCCCGCTCATCGAAGAGCTTAGGGCGAAGACAGCGGCAAACAAAGAGAAGAATGAGGCGGCGGTGAGGCAGCTCACCAGTACGATGGGGAGCGTCTACGATCCGCCCCTCAAGTTGGTGCGCTATCTGGGAGAAGGTGACTCCATGCCAGTCACACGAATGGTTACCCCGGAGCAGATCAAGGAGCTGAACGCGCAGGGCTACGAGCTCGACTGCCCGAAGAGTGGAGCAGCATGCGGTCTGATACGGCGTTAGCGCGTCGAGGTTGCCTGCAGCCTGGCAGCAACGACTCTAAAAAACGCAAACCCTGTCAGCAGTCCTCCTCCGGGAATGTACGTAAGAGCCACATACATTGAAAAAGACTCTCGGAGCCGAACGCGCCGCCGATTGTCCGATCTGTTTCCTCTAGTCACCAACACATGTGTTTTTTCTTTTGCAGAAAAAGAAATTTTGATCGATCACGATGAGTTTCCTCTAGTCACCAACACATGTGTTTTTTCTTTTGCAGAAAAAGAAATTTTGATCGATCACGATGTCAACCCTCCCAAATGGATGTGCTTGTAGGGCTTGAGAGTGGCCTACCAAAAATCTAAGGGTAGAATTCTCTTTCCTTGCGAGGGGAGTAGGAAAAATTTCTTTCCCCACACTCTCTCCACACTCCTCCTTAAAATCCCTGTGTGGTGGCGGCGTGTGCCGTCCTGCCGTCCTCCCATCCCTCCCTGGAGAGACACACAACGAATGAGAAGAAATAAATAAACAAAGAGTCGTAGAAAATCCAAAATTCAAATCGCAAACATAGAAACCCAAACACATACAGCCACGTGGCATAGGAGAGCAGGAGGTGAAAGCTTTCAGTGAAAGGAGCGGAGGTCAGCACGAGTTCCAAGGACGCACGAGCGAGAAGCACAGGAGAGCAGACAGATGACGATCACCACCCAGCGCACGACCGCCAACTCTCCGGCGCAGGCCGCGAAGAACCGAGTCCGGGTGCCGACGGTCGCGGCGCGCCGGCGCGGCGCAGTGGACGCAGCCCGGTTCGCAGCTTCGCGAGCTACGGGGGCGGCCACGGCACGGCCCGGTGGCCGCCCCCGCAATGAGGCCAAGCGGTGGGCATCCGGCAAAAGCCGCAAGACGGGATTCGCGAAGGCGCGGGCCACCTTCCGCGGCGGAGGCCGCGGAAGCGCGGCGGCTGCGGAGAGGCACGACAGCATGATGACAAAAGCACGCTGGCGGGGCACCGAGGCAATCGCAAGGGAGACCCCACAGGTTTACACGACTTGTGAAGTTGTGATCCGATTTCTTTTTCTAATTTCTAATTTCGAGTGGCCATCGGGAATTCGGGAAAATTCCGCTTTTTGTGCGGATCGTGCTTTTTATTTCTCTCCCTAGACCCGTGCCTAGTGTCGTGCGAGGGAGTTTTGTTGTAAAATTCTCTCCCATGCCTTTCTGGACAGGGTGGCCCGCCACAAGGACCCCAGGAATTGCGACTCGCCGCTTTCCTCCCACTGTGATTCTGTGTGAGCTCTTCGATTTGCCAAGAAGGCAATTTTTCTTCTCGGCTAATGGGAGTGTAGCTACCTTACGCAAAGCTTCTCGTTGGTCCGACGGCCTGGACCGCCCCGACCATGACTCCGACCTTACGCTCGCACCGTTCGCCATCGCTGCCGCCTCGACGTGCGCGCACCCACGCCTCACGCCCGCCACGCCGTGGAGCCCTCCACTGACTCCTCGCGCCCGTTCGTAGTGGTGGTTCCGGGAGCAGCTGTGGTGGGCGACTCGAGCAGCCCCTCCACCCCGAGTGGAGCGCTGCGCCGGTGCAACCTCTCCTTCTCCCTCATGTTCTCCGACGGGACGGACGGGACGCCGCCGGCAGACGTGGCTGCGGCGGGCGAGGCGCCCTCGGCGGCGGCGGCGGTGCCCTTCTCCGTGGCCGCTGCCTCCGAGCCGTCCTCGCCGTCGAGCCAGCGGGCGGGGCCGTCCCAAACGCCATGGGGCCCGACTCAGATCCCGCCCGCGCGACATCCGCCAGCCCGCGGTCGTGGCGGGCTTGAGGGCGGCGGCAGCATAGTCGGCGGCAGCTCTGGCATCTCCATCCCTGGCGCGGCCGGCGGCGGGGACGAGTCCGCCCTCGACGCCTCGCTGCACTTGCTCGCCGCGGCGCGGCAAGAGCGGTGGGCGAATGCGGGCGCCGCGCGTTTTGTCTAGGCCGCGGTGTTGTTCATCATGGCAGGTCAAGTAAACAGGACCTGCACCAATTTTTGGCGCCACCGCCGGGCCAGGGTTTGCACAGGCGTGGAGAGCGAGGCAGCGATGCTCCGACCCCATTCTGGCCAAGTGCCCCTAGCTGGCGCACTGTCTCCATTGACAGAGGTACACGAGGTTCTGCTTTTCATCATGGCATGACATACAGTAGACGCATGCGGCATGGGGTAGGCCTGACATATACATGTTGTTGTTGTTGTTGTTGTTGTCATGTCATGTAGGTGATAGCCATGTGTAGGAGAGGTGTCGTTGTCTTTCAAGCTTCGACATAAACTCTCGGAACTGGCGCGCGCCGCGTCGGCCCGCGGCGCGGTCGCACCGCTCGACACCGCTCGAACCACTCGACGCCGCTCATATCCAGCCGGCGGCCCCAGAGCCAGCGGGGCTCTCTTCTTGCTTTTCTGACTGCAAAACTTTATACCCCCCCCCCTCGCCGCCGGGGGCCAGCCGCCGTCGAGCCCGCCGAAGCGGCGCTGGCGGCGACGGCGGCGGCGTCGGCAGGGGAGGCGCCGTGGGAGGGTGCCCCGCTGATCTGGCAGCTTTGCAGTTTGCTGCCATGCAGATCGCTGCGAACAACAGGCTGGATGCCTAGGCCCCCACCAGGCCCCCACCAGGCCTGCGCGTTCCAACCGGTCCTCTCTCGGACGCAAGCCTCATGTGTTCTACTGTGGAGCAGTGTGCTGTGGGGAGAGCTAGGGGAGAGGCGACGATGGTTTCATTGGTTACAGCAGTTCTGCTATTGAGTATAGCCCCGCGCTAGCCACACGGACGACGAGGGAGTCGACGAGAGAGACAGGAGCGCCTCGGCGGACCGACGAGATGGCCTTTATCGACGATGCGTTCTTCGAGCCTCCCGACGTGGCAACGGAGGGAGAGGCGGAGGGCGGGGGGAGCCAGAGTCAGTACAGCCAACAGAGCCAGGGGGGCGAGAGCGAGGGGAGCCAGAGCAGCCAGGGCAGCCGACGGGCGCCCAGGAAGAGCCAACGGAACCGAATAGCCGCACAAGTCAACGCTTCCTGGACCGACTCCGTTTCGAACTCCAGGAGGCGGCGGCGGGGACGGATACAGACACCCCGAAAACGGCAACGACGGCGACGAAGATGGAGGGAGGAGCGAGGACGAAGAGATGCCCGACCGCACAACAGAGCCAGGACCGAGCCAGCAACCACCCGAGACGAGCCATCCGAACGATGGCAGCCAGGCAGACGACGAATTTACAGTGATGGACGAAGACGAAGAACAGCCAGAGCACGAGGCATCCCCGCCGCCGAGGAAGCGGGGCAACTTGAGAATGAACGTAGCAATTCGATGAGTCAGGGAGAGGGGGCGAGCCAACAGCATCACGAGGGCGAGGAGCCGATGACGAAGGCGCAGAGACAGCGCCAACGCCAGCGGAAGCAGGGATGCATCGCCCCGGAAGCCACCCGTCAAGTTCAGACGCTAACCGAGAGAATGGTGACAAGAAAGGGGGGACTCCGAACGGCCGAGCATGCCCTCGCATGCCGGACAACTAGGTAGGTCGTAGACCTCCCCCCTCCTGACGAATGTGTTTCGTGGATGGTAACTTGTTTGTTCAAAACGCTGCTTGTAACCACGATCGATGCGAGGACGCCACACCAACTCGGCCATTCCAACGGCCAGACCGCTCGCTTAAGGCTGATTGGCTAGACGAGCGGTCTACCTCCGACGGGGCGGTCTGGATCACGGGGGATGACATCCTGCCTCCCGGCACTCCGAGAGGAGGTGGTTGCTCCGTTGCCGGACCCCCCCCCTCCACCACCCTCGCCCAGGGATTTACAACGCTGTCTTAAGGTCCGAACTGTGGGCTCTGCCTGCGCTCGGCACCGGGCACCGTCTCGGTATACAAAATGCGCCTGCGGGCCGCGGACCCTTACACAGATCACAGATCACACGGACGCTCGACACCGCGCGACACCTTGCGCCACCACGCAACTCGACACCCGCTCGACACGCTCGACACGCTCGACAAGCTCGACACGCTCGACACGCTCGACACCCCTCGACACCCCTCGACACGGACAAGCATGGTTTCAGCGTCGACAGGCCTCCTAGACAGGCCTCGACAGGCCTCGACAGGCCTCGACACCTCTCTATCCCTCGACAGCAGTCAAGTGCAACGGCGGGCACGTCGCCCCATGGCGCGCGTAGCTATGACAGGGACCGCGCGGCCGCGGATCCGGCGCGGCGGACGGGGCTCGCGCGCAAGCGCCGGCCACCGTCGGGCCGCCGGGGATGCGCCGCGGACGGCCCGACCTTCGACCTGAAGCACGAGAAGGCCGCGGGCGACCGCGGGCCGGTGCAGGCGGCGGAGCGCTCGTTCGTCGAGCGCACCGCGCCGCGGAAGGAGGAGCCGACGGAGGAGCAGAAGGATGCTCGGGCCGCGGCTCGCAGGGCCAAAAAGGCCCGGCAGAAGGCGAACAAGGCGGAGAAGAAGGCTGCAGCGGCGGCTGCGAGCGAGGCCGAGCATGCGGACTACCCGCACGCGCAGCTACGCGAGAACATCGAGTTTGTGATGAACGGCCTGGAGGCTGCGACGCAGGCGGCGCGCAACCCCACCGGGTCCAACATCCAGGTCGCCTACTCGCTGCCTCCCGAGGGGGGTAGCGGGTTCGGCGACCTGGTGTAAGCCACGGTCCCTCTGGGCTCCGTGGCGACGAAGGTCGCCCGGGACTGGCTCGCCAACGAGCTCTACGAGCCGTCCCGGTGCGGCAAAATTGATGCGGCCTGCAGGGACCGAAAGGTCGCCGACCTGATCACGGCTGCCGGCGCCTCGGCGCCGGCCGACGCCGTGTTCGGCGGCGGGTTCGCGACGGGCGAGACGCCCCGCTCGACGACCTCCGCCTCCAAGGCGGACGAGGGCGACGTGCGCACACTGGGCCCACATAGGTGTGACCCGCCCACTGAGTGCGGCGCCCGGATGCTAGTGCTTGAGAAGACACCACAAACGCGGCACGGCCCGTTTTGACTGTCTGCGGAGATTCTGTCTTAGCACACACAGTGAGTCATTCGGAGTCATTCGATGGCCAGAGTGCGATTGTGTGTGTGCGGGAGTTGGTTTGTCGGGAGGGAGGGGCAGGCTGCTCACCCACACGTGCACCGGGCCAGTGCTTGCACTTTGAATGCCGTGGGGCTCCTGCCCGTGTCCGGGTGTGGAGATGCGAGGATCGCCCCCCCTTGCCCCACCACTTTGTGTGTGTGGAGAAATCTACCTATACCCTTAACCTCGAGACAGCAGCTCGAGTGTCGAGAGACACCAAGACACCCTCTCGACACCGCTCACCGGGCCTCGACACCTCGACACCAGGGCTCAGCGCCGCGCATGAATGGGAAATCATGCTTTTTCGGAGACGCGCGGTCTGCCCTTGATAAAATGCACACACACACACACACACACACGCACGCACACACACACACACACACACACACGCGCGCGCGCGCGCGCGCACACACACACACACATTGCTAATAACTAACCTCTCAACTCGCGCCTACTCGCCGAGCGAGCGATGTGCCTAATACTTTGCCCCCGAGCGAGCTTGGTCGTTGGTGCTCGCGGGCGGGAGAGCGCACGCACGGCGCGCGAGAGAGAGACCTGGGGCGCGAGAAGCGCGCGTTCTCTATTGCAGTTCTCTATCTCTGACTCCCACTCCTCTCCTAGTCGGCGCGGAGGCCAGAGTTGCGCAACGTGAGGATCGCGGCGAGCCGCCGCTCCTGCTGCCGCAACGCGCAGAGGGCGGCAGAGAGCCGCCCTGTCGCGCTGGTGCAAGTGAGCGCGTGCGCGCGGATCTGTGGGCCAAGCGTCGCGGCGGCGGCAAAGGAGAGGAGCTGCCGCTCAGCGGCTTGCTCGCGGTGGAACGCCTACGTCACGGGGAAATCTCAAGGTACTGATGTTCCTCTGGTGGCAACACACGGGCTGCGAGTGCGGTGAGATCGGCTGAACACGGCCGAGTATTTGTCTTCTCGAGGGCCAGTCGGAAGGCAGACCTGTGAACACAGCATCTAGAGCGGCACGCCCCCGACCCGGGCGGTAAGCCCCACAGCTCCGCAAGCGTCTCGCCAAGAGGCTCGTCGGCGGAGGTGGCGGCGGCGGCGGAGGAGGAGGCGGAGGAGGCGGCCTTCCCCTCGGGGAGGCCCTGCTTGGCCATCCAGGCGGCCCGGGCAGAGGCGTCTAGGTCCGACAGCGGGGCGGGTGGACCGGCGACAGGGGGAGCCCGGCTGCCGGCCGAGAGAGGCGGCGGTGCGTCGTGCGACGACCGGAGAACTGCGCGACGCGCCTCGATGAGAGCCGCCAGCGGAGCGGCGCGCTCGTCGCCGAGCGATCGAAGCTCCTCGCGCAGTCTGGCAGCCTCACCCTCGCCCTCGCCCTCGCCGTCGCCCTCGCCGCCGTTCGAGCCGCCGTCGCCCTTGCCGTCGCCGCCCTCGCCACCGCCGCCAGCCGCCTCGGCGCTGTCGCGCGTCGTCTCCTCCGGCAGAGGGACATCGTCGCCCACCGGGCAGGACTTAGCGCGGAGGGCGTCCCACAGCCGCGCGCGCAGCGCGGCGACGCGTGCGTGCGACTCGCGCACCTCTCCCTCGAGACTCCGCAGCAGCTCTCGCGCTTGCCCCACCACCTCGGCCTCCGATATGCCAGCCTGGGGAGGGGCCGGGGGAGGCCTCGGCCTCCGATATGCCAGCCTGGGGAGGGGCCGGGGGAGGAGGCTCCGCGCGGCAGTAGGGCAGGAGTCGGGGCGGCACCCTCCCGCGTCTTTACACCCTGTGAGACGGGCAGGAGACCCTCGGCGCCCAAAGCGCCGGCCCGGTGGTGCGCGGGAGCGAGCTGCCTCCTCCGCTGAGGCCGCGACGGCGCGCGCGGCTGCGTCTGCGTCGGCCTGTGACACCGCGCCAGCGGGCCCGTCCTCGGCCGCTGCCGAGAGCGCGTCCTCCATCGCCTCCCTCTCTGCGTCGGCGTCCTCGTCGTCGTCGCAGTATGGCTCGACCAGCGCGACCAGAAAGCCGCCCTCGCCGCCCGGCAGGCGAGCCTCGTCCGGCTGACTCAGCCCTAGCACCCCGACCCGGCCCACGCAGCGGATGCTCACTAAGGTCGCGCCGCCCTCTTCGTCCTCGCACGCCTCCAGCTCGAGGAGGCCGGAGATGCCCACCACCTCGTCCTCGCCGCGAAGCATCAGCTGGCCGCAACAGGAGGATGTTTTTGAGGCCGCATACTCGACGAGCAGTCTCGCGGTGGGATCGGACAGGGCACGCGTCTGCGCCTCTCCAGGAAGCAGCGGGTCAGGCCCAAGAGCAAGCAGCGGCAGCTCCAGCGGCGACGCCGGGGGCTCAGGCAGCGCACCGCCGATGATGAGCGGCGGCGGCGCGGGCGATCCGCGACCGGAGAGCCAGGCGCGGGCCGAAAGCGCGGTGGTGGCGCGGGTCGATAGGAGGCAGACAGCGACTGAGTTCAGCGCAAAGCTGCGCATGATGGGAGAGTTGGAAGGAAACCGAGAAACCCAGCCGAAGACCGGCATTTTCTGGACAAAATTCTCGGACTGTAAAGGAGTTTCGCGCCACGTCCCGATACGTCCCAACACAAATGAGTGCCACCAAATGAGTGCCACCGCGCCAACCGCGGTGGCGTTCTTCCACCTCGAGCGGACGGGCGGCACGTCCTTCCGGTCGTCTTTCGAACACCTTCGCGACGTGGTCAGCCTGCACTACGGCGTGACGCACTGCTGGTTCCTCCTCCACCGCGACCTCTTCCCGCGCTTTGCATCGGCATACGCAGCCAGGACAGACCTGGGCGCCAGGTGTGGCGATGCGGCGCGGCGGCCGTGGAACCAGCTGCCTCGGCTCTTCGTCGAGTTCCACTCGTGGTCGGCGAGCAGGTTTCGCCACGTCATCGCCGCCGCTGACGCGCTGCGCTCCCGCTATGCCGCCGCGGGCGGCGCGTTCCTGACGATGACGGTGTTTCGCGAGCCGCTCGCGCAGCTGGTCTCGCTGTACTCGTTCATGCCAATATACGAGCATCGCAAGCGTACGTCTTGCACGAACTCTCGCGCTGCATCCGTGCCTTGCAGCAACAGCTCTGCAGGCCAACAGCGCCGTCCCTTGCCCTTTCATGCCTGGGCCGGCCAGATCACGAGGGCGCCTTCGGCCGGATGGCAGCTCAACCGTGTGATGGAAGCCCTGCCCTCGCCGCCGCAGCTCAACTCGTCGGACGAGTTTGCAGCATTTGCGCGCTCGTGCCTGGCCACGCGGGGCACCAACGCGACGCTACGGAGCTTCCTCCGCGCATCCTTCGACATCATCGCCACCACAGATCGGCTCGAGGAGGGGCTACGCACGGCGCTCGGCTGCCTTGGGTGGGCCAAAGATGGTGCGAGGAGCGCGCTTCGCCGGAGGGTGATCCACGGACCAAACCGTGCCGGCGTGAACGGCTCTAGTGCCTCGTTTTTGCGCCGCCTCGACCCACCGACGATGGTGTGGTTGCGCGCCTTTACGGCGTGCGACCAGGTGATGCTTGGGGAGGTGACCGCCATGAGCGGGGCGGGACCCGTCGGCTTACTCGACGCGGAGAGGACACAGTGCCGCCGCCGGCCGTGGTCGCACGCTGCGGGTAACCCCGCACCGCGAACGCGGCGAAATCGTCGGGCGTCGTCGTCGCTCGGCGACCGGGCCGAGGGTCGGGAGGCGAAGCTGGGCGACCCCGCACCCGCTGCGCTACTTGCAGCGGCAGCAGCTCACCGCTTCAACTGTCGGACCCGCGAGCGGTGGGCCAGCAGCAAGAAGGCGTGGTGCTGTGAGCATGAGAAGCTCGGCTGCCGTTGAGACCGGACCGCAGTCCAGGGTGGCAACAGAAACCGCGATTTTCTCCGTCTCCTCCGGCAAGCGAGGCGCGGCGCGAGACGCCGTCCGCAGGAGCGTGGGCGCCGGGAACGGCAGGAGCGCGCGCGCGCGCGCACCAGATCCTCCGCCGCAGGCTGGCTGCCAGTCTCATCATGATCGTCGTCTGCCCCTTCGGTGCCTGGCTGCGGCGTGTTGGCGAACGAGAGCATGATTTGTGCATTCATGGCGGAAGAGTCGTGGGCGGTGGCATTGATGCCGGCTGGCACATTGATGCCGGCTGGCACGGCTGACCTCAGCATCGATCCGCGCCTGGCGCGCGCGCCACCGAGTGTGCGCGAGCTGCGCGGAGCGGCACCCTCGGCTCCGCGGCTGGCGGCGCGGCGGCAGGGGCGGGCGGCGCCGCAGGGCTCGCGCTCGCAGGCGGCTCCGTGGCCTGCGCCTGCCGCTCGTGGCGTACAGCGCGCTCGAGCTGCGAGTGCGGGTGCAGCTGTACGATGACGTCGCCGCTCTGCGTCGCGGTGAAGGAGACCGAGTACGGCGCTTCGCCGTCGTTCTTCTTCTCCGCGTAGACGAGCGCGTAGTCGCACACCTGTCGTTGGTGGTCAGTGAAGATGGTCTCTGTGCAGCGCTCGGCGGAGCCGACGCGAGAGAAGTGCCGCCTGAACGCCATGCGTTCAGGCGCTGTTTGAAAGAAAGAAATTTGCGCTCCCAGTTTTTCTTTCGCACTCGCTCTCGCGCGCCTGGTCAAGGGTGCCGCTCCGCGCAGCTCGCGCACACTCGGTGGCGCGCGCGCCAGGCGCGGATCGATGCTGAGGTCAGCCGTGCCAGCCGGCATCAATGTGCCAGCCGGCATCAATGCCACCGCCCACGACTCTTCCGCCATGAATGCACAAATCATGCTCTCGTTCGCCAACACGCCGCAGCCAGGCACCGAAGGGGCAGACGACGATCATGATGAGACTGGCAGCCAGCCTGCGGCGGAGGATCTGGTGCGCGCGCGCGCGCGCTCCTGCCGTTCCCGGCGCCCACGCTCCTGCGGACGGCGTCTCGCGCCGCGCCTCGCTTGCCAGAGGAGGGGGTCTCTGCGCTCGCTGCTCGCTGCCCATGTCGCTTCCCCACGCGGCAGCCTCCTGCCCAGCCTCCACCGCGCGGGCCCGACGGCGTCGACCGCCGGCGCGCAGGCGATGCCGAAGCAGAAGACCTGCCGCTACGACAGCAGCCTCGGCCTGCTCACCAAGAAATTCGTGACGCTCATCCAGACGGCGCCCGAAGGGATCCTCGACCTCAACCAGGCGCGCCATGAACCGTGCCCGCGCGCGCCGAGAATTAGCCGCGGCACACCCCAGCGGGCCGCTTTGCCCGAACACACGGCAGCGGCGCGCGCTTTCCCTCGAAACTAGCGGCGCGTCTGAGGGGTTGCGGCGCGGTGGGGCTCCGAGGCGGCGGCGGCCCGCGGCCTTCCGCCCCTCCTGCCACGCGTCGCTTATTTTGGCGCCGCCCCGCCACTCTTTTGCCGCCGCCCGCCGCACCGCCTCCGCGCCACGCCGCCCCCGCCGCCACCGACCCGCGCCCCCGCGAGATTCGTTTCGCGCCCCTCGCCTCCCCCTCTGCCACCTCATCCGCCGCTGCTTTGCCGCTCTCGCCCCCGCCGCCGCCGTGGCTCACGCTTCCGCCGTGGCGCACGCCAGGCCGCGACCCAGCTCAACGTGCAGAAGCGGCGGATCTACGACATCACCAACGTGCTCGAGGGGATCGGCCTGATCGAGAAGAAGTCGAAGAACAACATTCAGTGGAAGGGGATGGGCCCGAACGGTGCGACCGCCTCATGAAGCCCGGCGCCTCGACGCGCGAACGGCGCCGCTTCACGGGGGCCAGCTGTGAACAGGATCCAAGGACCTGGAGGACGAGCTCGAGAAGATGCGCGACCAGGCGCGCGATCAACCCGAAATCCCCCCCCCCCCCCCCACACCATGCCGCCTCTGCTTATTGCCCCTGGTGCCGCTGCAGGTGCGGACGTACACCAGCCAGGAGCAGTGGCTCGACCAGTCCATCGAGCAGATGCAGGCGGGAGGGAGACCTGCGAGACCCCTCCGCCTCCCCACCCACCGCCACACGCACGCGCCTCTTTGTCTCATCCCCACGGCCCCCCGCCGCTCTCTTGCGATTTGCTGCCCGCACTGCACCGCAATGGCACCGCAATGGCGAGCACCGTGCCGGCCTGCGGCGCGTCCGTGACACGTCCCACGTGCGTGTGCCACGCCCCACGTCCGTGACACGCGCGTGCGCCGTGCCGCGCAGGCGTCGCTACGCGCGCTGGCGGAGGACGCGGCGAACCAGGAGCATGCCTTTGTCACACACGAGGACATCCGCAACATCTCCGCGTTCTCCGCCGACACGATCATCGCCATCAAGGCGCCGTCGGGAACCACGCTGGAGGTGCCCGACCCGGATGAGGGGATGGAGTCGGGGCAGCGGCGATATCAGATCTACCTCAAGTCGCAGACGGGGCCCGTCGAGGTCTTCCTCGTCTCCCCAGACGCGTCGGATGGCGCGGCCAGCGGCGAGGCGTCCACCTCGGCGGGCGCAGCCCCGGCGGAGCCCTCCGCCAACGGCGGCGCGGCGGGCGGCGCGGCGGACAGCGGCGACGGGAGCGACGCGGCGCGGAGAAAACGGGCGCGCACCGACGAGGCCGGCAGCAGCAGCGCGGGCGCCGCGGCGCCGGCAGCGTCGCCCGAGCGAGGCGGCAAGCGGAGCGACCCGCTGCTGAAGCTCTCGCCCGTGGCGGCGGCGGGCGACTATTGGGACGTGCAGCCCGATGCTGTCGGCGTGTCGGAGCTCTTTGCAGGCAGCACGGCCGAAAAGCCGAGCGGCGGCGTTGCGGCGGGCGGCGCCAGCGCGGGTGCGTGCGCGGGAAATCCCCTGCATTCGCCCACACACGGGGGGGGGGGGGGGGGGCACAGCCTCCTGCTCAGCGGCCCTTTACCCTCTCGCCACTCAGCGGCCCTTTACCCTCTCGCCACAGGTACGGGAGGCGTCGTCAAGGTGGCGATGGACTAGCGGGCGGCAGTGGGAGTGGGCGGCACGCTTTGGCGCGGGAGGCGGCCATTCAACGACGGGCGGACGCGCGGGCCGCGCCGTGCCCCCTTCGCCTCCCCCCGCCCTACCCCGGGTCCGCACCAGCCCATCCCATCCTACGTGACGCCGCGGGCAGCGTCCATGCGATTGCGCCGGGCGGCTCCGCCGCTTCCCGGAGACTATACTACGTGGGGAGGGACCGGTCCCGGTGGCATGGAGAGGGAGGCGGAGGAGGAGCCCGCCGCGCCGCAGCGGCGGCGGCAGAGCGCCGATGGGCGGCGCTCTCTGTACTGCTTGGTTTCGGGTGGGGCCCGGCGGGGTTGGGCCGTGGCAGTCATACGGTGCATATCGTGGAGTCTGTGGGCTGCAGGACGGTGACGCGGCAGGTCGGAGGTCGGCGCACGGCGGTCCGTCGCCCTAGTTGTTTTTTTGAGCGCGGAGGGGTGGAGGTTACCGCAAAGCGCAATGGAGCCGTCGAGCGGCGGGGCATATGCGACTCAGTCATCGTTTCTTTTTCCTGGTACTAGGTAACTCCTCGGAAACTGCGGAATAATTACGAGCAAAGGCTAGTGCCATTTGCCCATTTCACTGTGGTGACCATTTGCGCAAAAAGGTACATCTCGGTGCCTTCCAGAGGCAGCTGCGACCCCGCCGAGTAGACGGCGTCACACAGCAGGTGGCGCGGTGTCACGCCGTCCACTCGCTCCGATCGCAGCTGCCTCTGCGCGTCCTGGGTATGTACCTTTGTCGCGCGCCAGAGACGACTCGACGCCGCTGAGATCGGAGATCAAGCTCTGACAGGTCGCACGTCGCTCCTTTGACGCCGACGTGACTCACCCGTGCAGATCACATCATGACACGGTCTCGATGCGCTCGGTACGACGCCTGCGACCCGTCTCGGGTCAGGTGGCACGACGCTCATCGCGCCTACCAGCGCTGCCGTACAGGTTGCCACGACGAGGTCGAGCACGCTTCTATACGCCAGCCGAGCCTTCCTTTCCATCCCATTAGGCAGTCTGGGAACGGTGGCGGTCAGAGGCAAAGCCTACGAGGGGTGGTGGAACCACATGTCACGGCTACTGCCGGCTCGACCCCACGATAGCCTCCGAAGGCTGACTTTGCGGCACCATCATCGGACGATGTCGACGAGTTTGGTCGCTCTCGCGGTAGCCAGATGACCTCTCTTCCTAGGATCATCGGCCATGGCCGCAGGGAGCGCGGGGGAGGGCGCTGGAAGCAACACGGAGCTCCGTTGGAGACGTTTTCAAGATTAGCGTGTCAGAGTGAAATGGCACTAGCCAAATCCCTTTTGAGGCGGGGTGCCGATGTGGTGTGCCATGCCCGATTATTTTTAAGGAAAGGGCTAAAAGTGTACAAATACCGAGTAGAGAGCTCTCTCTCTACAAATATGGCTATCAATGTGTGCAAGGACCGTGCAATGCCCGCGCTGCGGACGTGCTACCTCCTTTCCCGCGAGCCGAGCGCTCGCGCCAGTTTCTCTGCAACGGCGCGCGCCTCGCTCGCGGCGTCATCGCCCTCGTGAGGCGGCATCGCCCGCAGCGCGCGGACGCACTCGCGGACCGCCTGTTGCGCGCCGCCTGCGTAGCTGGACGAGGCCATCCGAGTCACCGCCTCGAGCCACGCCGCGCGGTGCTGAGTCGGCAGCGCCGCGCCGTCGGCCCCGCGCTCGCCCGCGCCGACCAGCAGCGAGCGGGCGGTGTCTTGCAGCCGCGCGCTCCCCAGAAAGAGAGCCGTGGCCGACTCAGAGAGCGCGCCTCGCGCGCGGGGGGCGAGCCGAGCGCGCGCCGCCTCGTGCAGCTGCTCCGCGGCCGCGCCCAGCACGAAGCGAGCGTCGAGCGGTGTCAGGGCTGCGTGCTGCTCGACGAGCCTGCGCACGTGCGCCTCGAGGTCCGCCGCAACCTCGAGCGCCGCCCCGGAGCCCGCGCCGCCTCCCGCGGCCAGCGAATGGCGGAGCAGCGTCAGGCGGGCGGGGAGGTGCCACGGGTCCCGCCGGACCAGCGCCGCGAGGCGCGCGGCGCTCGCCCGCGTCGGCCTCTCCTCCCCCTCGAGCAAGTACGCCTCCAGCCGCGCGCAGCGAGGGAAGGCGCGGTGGAGCGCAGACACCTCCGCCAGCGCCGCCTCGCGAGGCAGGGACGAGAGCACGGTCTGCGCGCCGACGCCGAGCGTGAGCCCGCCGCCCGTGTTCCTCGTCGCGTGGAACCACATCGCAGGCACAAACAGCAGCTCGCCCGGCCTCTGCTCGACGGAGCAGAGGGGCGCAGCGCCGGGAGGGGGCCACTGTGCCTCGTCGGACACGGAGGCGAGGGCGACCGCCTCGGCCCGCGACGGCTCGTCAAAGAGGTCCGACTCGGGGTGAGCCAGCCACCACCGCTTTGCACCCGAGAGCAGGTACAGCCAAGCTGCGCCGTGCTGGTGCAGCCGCAGACCGGTGCGCCGCCCGCCCGCCGAGACCAAGGGTGTGTGCCACGGCTGCGACTGCGCGCACTCGTCGCCGGCCGCGAGGCTCGCCCGCTCCAGCACCCGCGCCGCCTGAGCCGCCAGCCCCGAAGGCATCACGGCCTCGACCGGCGACGTCTCCGCCTCGTCGCCAAAGGAGAAGACCATGCCGGAGGCGTTTGCAGCAAACGCCGCGAAGCGCTGCGGCTCGGCCGGCGCTGCGCCCCGGCCAAACTGCGAGTACAGCATCGAGTCGGCGGAGCTTGCGCTCACGACACGGACGGTGAGGGCGTCGAGTGCCTCAAGCGGCGGCGGCGCACTGGCGGCGGCGACGAGCACTGGCTCGGAGAGCACGCGGTCGTCGGCAAACTCATCCGCGGTGAGCCGTCGGACGGTGCAGCCAAAGGCCGAGGCGATTAGCATGCGCGAGAGGAGAAAGCGCCGTCTCCTATACTAAAGCGTGAGCCGACTCCGCGTGAACTCTCGAGGGATCTCGAGGGATATTACGAACTCTGTTCACCGAGCAGCTGGGAGTGGCTGCGGCTATAGCAGACAGGAGAAAGCGATCAGAGTCGCAGCAGGACAACAAAAAATTACCGAGGCGTGATCACAGCGGGCGGGAGGTATGCGGCGAGTCGCAATTCCAGGGGTCGTTGTGGCGGGCCACCCTGTCCAGAGAGGCATGGATGCCAATCTGGGGTCTCTCGACCGAGTCTATGAGCCCTGGCCGCCTCCCTCCCGATCTTGGTGGTAAGGCCGCAGCCGAACGAACAGGGCGACGGAGATGGCGCGGGAGAGTACGGGTGTTCCAGGGGATCACGACACGCACCGACCCTTCACGAGCCGAAAGGCTGTGCCCGGGGAAGG